CGGCGGCGGCGGCGGCGGCGCGGGAGGTCCTGCCTTCCAGCCCCGGCAGCGCCGCAGCCTTCTGCCCATTGCACGGACGGGAACGCCGAGGCGCCGCCCCTGCCCGGCCAGGCAGCGAGCTCCCCTCGCTGAAAGAGCAAACGCTAAGCTGCGCTAAGAGCCCCGGCCTAGGGGGTAAGGAGCTTAGGAGCTTCTAGGAAGCAGCAAGTCCTCAGCCAGAGGCCTCCCGAGCGCTTCGCTGTCCATGCAGCTGCTTCTGGGGGGGGAGGCTGGCAAGCAGGAGGGCAGCAGCAAGGAACAGCGGCCTGCTCCGCAGTGCGGCGGCGTCCTGCACGGTGATGGCTCCCAGCTTTGGGTAGTCAACTCCCATCCGGGAGTGCCGCAGAGGTCACAGGCCATCTCCCCAGTGGGTAATGTGTCCAGCAGCCTCCCTTGTCGCGGCTGCCTTCGCTTGCGGGGCGTGAACGCCAGATGCGTGTGGACAGTCGCGCCACGTGAGGGGTAACTGCTTCGGGGCAGCCAGCAAGGAACCGGAAAGGGGAGACGTGACCCCGCAAGTGTCCCTTTCAGCAGGCGTTGGCCGCATTGAGTGCATGTGTGCTCTGAAAGGGCCGTTGTGTATTTTGGGGGCTTGACGTTCTGCCGGGACAGGAACTTGCTTCTATGTCAGCTCGACTTCACAGAGGCTTGGTTTGTTCTTTCCTGGTTTAACTCGCGGGGCAGGGAGAACTGCACTGCCATGGCTAAACAGTGAGCTCTTTTCAAACATAGTTGGGTTTTTTTTTTGTCTAAGTCCTCTCGGATATTTGGGCCTTGAGAATCGCTGTGCTTTGCTGGGTTGCAGGATACTCCAAGTCCGAAGTAATTTGAGCGAGGGGGTCCCAAGACACAGTACTCCTAGATAGCCACAGTACTGGGATAAAAATCCATCCCTCTGCACACTGCAGATTCCTTGTTCTCCTCTCAGGCAGCATAAAAGAAGCAGAAACAGTTTGCAAATACTTCTTGCAAGAGGGCATAGAGCTAACTTAGCATTTCTTGTGCCTCCCTCCCCATGGACCTGGCACAGGCGGCATGTCAAGGCAGGAGGAGAACTAGCTGGAACATATTTACTACACCTGTCTCTGGCCAGTGCACAGACCCTCGTGTAAACTGGAGCAGCCTAAAGGGTGCCCTAGCTGGGCCTGGGAGAGTCAGGGCATCTCGGTTCCCTGAAAACTTCCTGGCAGGACGCCA